TCTTCCTATATGTTGGTGCGGTACAGGGTATAGCGGGATGGGCGAATTCCACCGTTGAGATGCCCTCGAAGTATTCACGCCATCGTTGCAATACCCTTTTTCGGTCCATCAGAAGGTGGCCATTCTCATCACTTATGCCAAAAACTTCTCAATGTCTTCGGTTTGGCGATGACGAGATTTGGCAAGTCCGTACAGGTACCGCTCACCGTCGCTCTTCTTGCTGATATCATCGAAGTGAGCGGCCTTCACAGCAGCCACGGCCGTCTTTGCCGCCTTCCTCGCTTCCCGATACTGCCGCCAGTTGTCAGCCGACTTGTGCTCGAGAAACGCGTGATAGAGTCTTTTCTTTTCTCGAACCTTCGCTTTGACGTCGTCCGTCCAGAGCCATGCCTCTTTGTCAATCCTCCGCCGTCCAGGCTTCGTTGTGCCGAGTTCGGAGCGGGCCAGAGGTCGATCTTTCTACGCTCTAGGGCTTCTGCTAACTCATACGAGCGTCCAGTCAACGTGCCAACGTTCAGCGTCGCAATGCGAGCCTTTAACACATTGCACGTCTTTCGGACTAGCCTGGTTGCCCCCGATGCCGTCCTTGCAACGAGGACCCTCGCATATTTTCACACTCGTCGGGCCTTGCGAGTGCGCGTCGGCTCCCGCGGACGCCGTAGCATTATCTCGAAATTCATAAGGCATAGTTAAACATGATGATGTGACATGGGGTGTTCGTAAGCCGGCCCGTCACGAAGGCCTGTCGCCTGCTTTCGAGTTCTGCTTAGCCCGCAAAAGCGAGCAGGGCCGGAGGCACCACTTGGAGGAACGGACGTCACCACCTTAATACGGTCAACACTGTTGATGAGAAATATGAACTCTTTTTAGCAATTCTACACCACGCTGTTGAACTTTTTGTCCCACTTGTTAAGGCGCCACCTCATAAGTCACACCTTCCCCGGTATCTTTGCTCTCTCTCAAAAAGAAGAGCTGATGCTTGGAAAAGAGCAGTTGTTACCATTGGTCTAAATATCATTCAGCCTGTAACCTCCTCGAGAAAAAGCTATGGAAGTTTAATAATAATGTTGAGGCAAAAGCTGTTCGTAGTAAGGACAAGAGCTCTCTTTACAAACTCCTTAATTCGAGACTTAGGTCTAAATCAACGGTCACCAAATTGTTAGGGCTGATGGTTCCTCTGCTATAACAAACGAGGCCAAAGTTGAACTGCTTGCTGACGTTTTTGAACAGTCGTTTGCACCTAG